CTTCTCTTTTATTACATGAATGCTTAAACTTATACGTGTAATTCAATGAGTTTCTAGATATATTAGTAATATATCAAGAATAAAAGACACCTATTTTATCTCTTGATACATAAATCAAGATTAGCCTCTAGCAAGACATCATGACTACCTAATTCTCTAGGAGGATTAATTAATTCACAATTATCTTTCACGACCATGGTTACCATACAATTTAGTCCTAATGTTAATTTATCACGAGTATGATCTTGAACTTAGTTATTAGTTTGTTTGATTATGATCACACAAGTTTTTTTCGATTGCTAAATGCTTTAGCTTTTAGAGTAAGTCAACTATACTCTATTGGTGTACTTCTACTATGGCCACAGATTTCTTGAGTAGATATTTATTAAAGTCTAATACTCTTTTAGCATATAAGGAATGACATGTCTTATCTTAGTCATCTACCCATATCCATCGGATTTATAATGCACTTAACGAATTGCCCACATGTAACCTTTTACTAGGTCCATCGAAATGAGTGGCCACAGATTTCTTGAGTAGACATTTATTGAAGTACAATGTAAAAACTCTTTTAGCATATAAGAAATGACATGTACTATCTTATTCATCTACCCATCTTCATTAGATTTTTTGTGCACCCAACAAATTGCCCATGTGTGACCTTTTACTAAGTCCATTGAAATGAGTGTCAAAGTGCATAAATTTTCTAATGAGATAACCATGATGACTTCAAGTTAAATGATCAGTTGTACCCATCTCATATGAGATTCCCATAAACTAAACCAAATGGGTTCTCATAGCAAGTCAAGTTTAGTGATATATTCTCTAACATTAATCACCTAAGTGCTTGCTTTGGTATTACCATGTCAATAGACGTGAGATCTCCTACTTCTATATTATAGCATGAGCATAGTATTTACAAGTCTAACTCGCATATAATTAATGTCCATTTTTGACAATGCTATGATTTGGGACATTTAATGATATTATTTAAGTGCATTAATGTTTATCTCACATCTTTCGATCAATTATTAATTCAATACATATCATATGAACTTCTATCTAATTCTAATAAATAAAATATAAATAATAAGAATTAATAGAAATTTTTTTTATTAATAAAATAAATAAGAAAATATTATAATAAGTCAAATCTATCCAAATATGGTTCGATCTTGAGTACTTATACTAACACATAAAAATAAATCTCCTCTCAAATTTTATTCCATTTGAAGTCTATATCTATCTCGGACACATGTCTTTGGTTGTAATTGTTATTGTCATGTTATTGAACAATATAGAGATAAACTTGATAAACAATCATTAAATATGTTTTCTTGGATATTCCTCAACAAAATAATAATAATAATAATAATAATAATAATAGATCATGTATCCTATGGAGGTGTAGAATAAATAAAAAAAATTTCTCCTCTAGCTAGAGTCCCAAAACTATCAATTGAATCAACTAACTATATAATAATAAGATGGTTAGATGTTGCCTCTTGTAGTGAAGAATCAAATTCCTGAAAAGAACCATCCAAGCATCTAGTCTTTATTAATAATCTAAATAGCTAAACACCCATAGAAGAAGTAACGAGAAAACATAAAGTGCTAGCTCCAACCTTTCCCGCAATGTATAATTTTCTCTCAAAGAAATCTTATAGGGGTTGTGCAATCTTTCTTGAGGGAGAGGGGTTTGCGGGTTTGATTATTTTTATGAAGAGATTATATAATTTTTCTCTAACTCTTAGATTGATTTTCTTATGTTATTCTTACCTTTATGTTTGTCTCCCTCCCTCTTACTTATATATACTGGCAACAACTCCATTTAGAAAAGGAGTTGTAACTTAGGTGAGCTTTATTTTATCTTATCCTTTTGCTCAATACTCCTTTGGCCTAATAACTTAATAATTAATTTTGACCATGCAAATAAATTGGGCTAAGTATTTTTAAGGAGGCCCATATTAGGAAACAATTTCCTAAGTTACCCTTAAATTTTATTAAAGCTAAATTAGAAAACTGATTTTCAAAATAGAAAATTGACTTTTGAAATCAAAAACTAATTTTTAAAATAGAAACCTAATTTTTGAAAAAGGAAATTGATTTCCAAAATAGGAAGCTTATTCTAATGTCTTTGCTTTTCTTTTTTCGTGTAAATGTTTAAACTTATACATGTGACTCAATAGACTCCTAGATATGTTGGTAATATATCAAGAATGTAAAAGATAATTCTTTTATCTCTTGATACATAAATTAAGATTGACCTCTAGCAAGTTATCTTAACCATTCAATTCTCTATAAGGATTAATTAATCCATTTAATCCATAATTACCTTTTATGAGTTTGGTTTTCATACAATTCAGTTCTCATATCAATTTATCATAATTTGAGCTCGAACTTGATTTATTGTCTATTGGATTATGATTACATAAGTTTTCTTTGATCTCCAAATATCTTAGCTCTTAAGTAAACCAATTATGCTCTATTGGTATACTTCCACTATGGCCATAGATTCTCGAGCGAGATATTCATCGAAGTGCAATGTGATAATCCCTTTAGCATATAAGGAATGACATTTTTAATCTTAGTCATCCAACTATCTCTAGTAGATGACATTTCTAATCTCGATCATCCACCTATCTCGAGTAGATTCCTAATGCTCTCAATAAATCATCCACATGTAACTTTTTACCGAGCTCATCGAAATGAATATCAAAGTACACCCATCCTTTAATGAGTTCAAGTCTATTAGATTATTGATACCCACCTTGTATGAGATTTTCATAGATAATACCAAATGGGTTCTCATGGCGAGTCACATCTTATGATATATTCTCTAATATTATTCGCATGTGTGCTTTCTTTCTTTGGCATCACTATGCCGGTAGGTGTGAGATCTCCTACCGTTATCTTATAACGAGAGCATAGCACTTATCGGTTTTACCGTATATTATCAATATGCAATCTTGATAATTCTATGAGTTGGGACATTTAATGATATCATTAATGAAAGATTTGAAGTAAATGGATGCTTATGGATGAATTGGGGATGATCACATTCATTTTAATTGCATGTTTCATTTATGAATAGAAATGAAATATTTTATATTATGCAATAGGTTGTGAAAAATTTATTAGCATTAAATTTTGAATCTTAGGAAGCCTTAAACATTAAATCAAATAAAAAATTATGTTGTGCATTGTCATAGAGGTCTAGAGGAGAGGACACGAGTGCATTGTCTTGTAGTCTTGGGTATGAGATAGTGTAGTAGCGCTCTCGACTTTGATTGATAACCACGAGTGTTACATAGCGGTATCAAAGCCAATTAGACTATTAGGCTTGACTAGTATATGCAAACTTGAGCTTCGGTTGCATCATCAACTAGTAAATGTTTAAAATGTCGAATGTGAACTTTTTAGCTAAGGTTTGGCAAATGAGATTGATGCTTTGGTGTATATGGATATGATTGATGTTTGCTGAGTTGAATGAATATTTTTGACACTACTTGTGAATAATGCAATTGATGCTTAGGCGCATATGGAGGAATTGTATTAAGTCATACAAGTAAGTTTTGTTATATATATTGTAATTTCTTGTAATGTTGCACTGTGATATTTTTTATACCATAGGCATTGTGATGTTTTCTATATTAAGCATCTTGATATTTCTTATTTATTAAGCATTGTGATATTTTCTATATTAATTTTACAAAATCTTACATATAATACGATATCATTGTTGAAAGTTATGTAATTATGAGAAAATCTTTCATATTTCTTCTTTGTATTATTTCTTTTAAATGTATGAAAGACGCAATGTTCTGGTTGGAAGTATGATCAATCTATTTATACATTAATTTATGTAAATAAGTAACGCAACCAATATGAAATTAGTAAATTAAAGAAAAACAGCATGACCTATATAAACACCTTTTCTATTAACCAAATGAAATAAAAAGATTTCAATTCAAAAAAAGAAAAAAAAACCCAATATTATTTTCTTTTGCCAAAAATAATTTATCTTCAACACATTATTTTAATCTTCATAACCCTACGGTTTTTTTTTTTTTTTTTTCAGGTACATAAGAAAAGAATAAAATAAACTAATCATGGAAAAAACTTACATCCATACAATGAGTAAGAAGAAGGTTTCTGATACCAGGAGTAGGAGACTCCCAAATTTGCAGCCAAGAGCAGCATAAAGATCCCAATTAAGCTAAGAAATTCGCAAATTGATTCCCTTCTCTTGAAAAGTGCATCACAAAACAATCGCAATCTAAGCTAAGCATCAAGCGAATAGCAATGATGGTAAAAAGTGTGGATGAGTAATAGCTGGGTCATAATCTATGCATCTCTTAGCTTCCAGTGAATCTATTTCAATGTCACCGAAAACAACATCCTTTATCTTTATTACATTGCAACATTGTAGCGGTTACTGTAGCAGGTTTGTTTCCTGCTTATCGTTCGGGTTTCCTGCTGATCATAAGGTTTCTTAATAATTACTAGTAAAGTAATCACTAGTATAAATCTAACGAGGGAATTCAAAATTGTGCTGGCATTGCGGAAGCGAGAAGATTCACGTCCATAAATTCCTTATCTTTCTAAAACAATTCAAATAATTCAAAGTATTTGTGGTATTTGTTGGAGATTGCTAAGTTTATATTTTTATTTTACAATATTCAGTTCTACTTTCATTTTGTAAATTGGATTAATATGGAAGCATAAAACATAGAAGTTAAAGATAATTTTTTATAGATTAGTTGGAAAATGATTCAAGTGTATTCTATTTCCCATTCAGCTCCTTACAAGATGAATAATCACTCAATGCGAGGAAACAAGCGTACATCAATTGAATAACTTGCAAAGTTCTTAGTACAATATTGGTTTAATATTTACACCTCAGATTTTCTTGCATCCTTGCATTACCTACAGAATGCTGTGACAAAACTTATTCTATCTTCATTGATAATAGTGCTTACTTCGTATCTAGCAATGACATGATCTCCTTGAGCATCCATGATTATGTTATGGTTTTGGATGACCTCAAAAGGAAAGTTCAATGCATGCATGTGGCTATTGCCTTCGGATGTTGCTCAAGCGAACTATTCAGGAAGCAAATTGAAATTGTTGAAGCCAAAGGCAAGAGTCTTGCTCGAGAACTAGACCAGCATGGGCAGTGTACTAGTAATGAAACTGCTGCTACAGTTAACCCATGAACAAGAGATGGTGGTGACTCACAAGCACCAATTTCGAAGGAATTTGTTGAGTTCTTCCTCGAAATGGGGATTGTGTTAAGAATTAAGCTTGCTGATCTTGGTTCACCAAGTTTTCAGAAGATGCTTGGTGAAATCACTTCTGATGAACTAGAAGGTGGGATGCTAGAAGAGCAACTGAAGAATATTGTGCAAGAAAAACTTGACCAAAAGAGCCAAACATCGGCTACAACCAGCTATACGATCCTGATGGATGAATGGATAAATGAAAAAGGTTGATGATTTTAGTCAACTGCATACGACCTCAAAGCATCCAAAGTTTAATGGGACATGGCTTTGCTCTCCGTCCATGTTGATGATTTTAGACAATTCAATAGTCTCTCCTTCGTTTAATTCCATTCAATAAAATCAGAACTTATTTCCTTACGTAAATAGGCTGTAGAGACAAAGGCAAATCTGGATATTCGACTTCTTTTCTCAATGAGAATGAATTAATGGCCTCAATGGTTTATAAACAGTATGAAGCTGGACAATCTGATTGAATATGCCACTCCGCTTCCACCATGCCATCCCAAGCCTCATCCTGACACTGCAATAGAGCAATAACATAAATTCACGAAGTTTCAAACACAGTAAATAAATCTTGAACATGTCCTTGATTAATATCTTAATTTAAGACACCTTTACCAATCGATATATGTTGTTTCATATTATAGAAAATAATTTTGAATAAAAGAAGAAGAAGAAGAAGAAATATACGTTTCATATAAGGGAACATAATTTTAAATTGAAAAAAAAAAGGAAAGAAAAATAGCCAAAATAAAGCCAGATTCAATACCTTGGCATGATCCAAGCCAATATGAGCCATGGTGCGAAGTACTGGATATGCATGGCTTCTCCATTTTCGTTTGCTCCAAAATCTAAAGAAAACAAATTAAAATTACATTCCACTGTATTATTCTTTTTTAAACCTTTGTTAATTAACTCTAACAAAGAAGAAAAAAGAATTGAATAGAGCAATAGGAAAGAAGCACAAACATTAGGAGCTTGATTTGGTATATCTTCAACCTGATGAAAGAGAATTGCTTTGAGTTTTCGCTCATTATCATCTTCTTTTTCACTGACTCCTCTTTCCATTCTTAGGAAAGACGGCGCTTCTAATTAGGATTGTGTATTGCTGAATGACTATGGTGGATTATATAGGCCAGATTGATCTTCTCGTTAGGGTGTCTATTTTTGACGTGTCCTTACATGTCTCGACCTGCCTTTTTTATTTATTTTTATTTATTTATTTATTATTATTATTATTTTTTTTTTTGGTGGTATTTTTCTTAGCTGAAACTATTAGCTTAGATTGTATCGAAATTTTCATAACATTATTATTATTACTTTTTATATAGAGAACCGAAACCAAGATTCTATTTACCTTGAAACTGTGTGCTAATTAGGATTGTTAGCGCAAAGAAATTTCAATTCCATATCATGTATAATTTCCAAAATGGGAACTTTGTTTTTCTACCACCAAAAGTGTGAGGCCCCATAGAAAATAAGGATAAGATCAGGTGCAACTTCTATCAAACTTTCATAGTCAAATTGTTCTTAACTTTTCTAGGTTCATTTAAATAAGGGTAGTGGCAGGATTATTTGGTAAGGAGGGGAAAGATAAAATATTATGTTAGGTTTTACTGCCCAAACTAGTATTTCTCTAATAAGTAGTATACTATTTTAAAAATTATTAAACTAAAATTTACTTTGTAACAATCTTAAAATATTTCATTTAAATAATAATTTTATACTCATATTGTTTATAAATATTGTTATGCAATAGATATAGACATCACTCGCCGTAAAAGATAAAATTTGCGAGGGTTTATTTGTGACGGTCTAAAAACTATAGTAAAAAAGGGTTTTTTTGCAACGGTTTTTTAGAGAAGCGTAGCAAACCGGGTTCTCCAGATGAATATTAGCGATGGTTCAACAAACTATCGCTAAATCGGTCGAGAAAGACCAAATTTTGTGATGGTTCACTCGTTGTAAATCTTATGATTAATTTTGATATCGGCGATGTTTTAGGAGAACTATCACTAATTTCTAAATTATACATCAATTTTAGTGACAATTTTTCTAAACCGTCGCTAAAATTGCTTCTTACCGAGACAATTTAGCGACGGTTTTGGTGAATAGTAGCTAAATCCCCCACAATGGAAATTTTTTAAAAATGATTTACGACTATTTTTTGAAAAAAAAAGTCACAAAAGGTGAGAAATTAGCAACGGTTTAATAAAATCGTTGCTAATTTTTTGATCGTTGCGAGGAAACAATCATATTTTGAAATTTTTGGATTTTTAGCGACCATTAGGGGGAAACAAGACCAAAACCATTGCTAAAAATTAAATCCCGAGATATACACTACTCGTCTCTTTTTTTCCCCAAATTTTCTCTCTTCTTCTTCTTCTCCAAGCAACTCTAAATCTCTCTCCCTCCCCAATTTCTCCCCCAACCAGCAACTCTAACTCCTTCTAAATATCCTACTTTCTCTTATTTTCTTCTTCCCCTCTATCTCCTCACCTCTCCACCTCGCTTTTCTTCTTCTTTCTCTCCTTTCCTCATGTAACCCCCCGAAAATCTTTAATTACAAGAGCCCATCATGTATTGGACTTGTTATGCTTGGTTGGTATAAGATTTTTTGTTATTATGGAATATCTATGTAAGTAAGTTTCTTTGATGCTTCATACCATTCAATTAATGTGATTGTAATTGATTAAGCTTGTGTATAGGTTATGAGGTGTTTGTTGGCCTAGTTGTGTTGGTTAGGTTGTGTGGTTGATTAAAACATGATGGGCAAACTTGGAACTTGTCTAGGTATGAATAAAATGGAGTAGGAAGGAAAGAAAAATGAAATTTTAGGGTTTTCTTGAGCAAACGTGAAGTTGGAGAGTTACACGACCTCCAATATGGGTGTGTCTTTTCTCTTGTAATTAAGAATTGCATTTTTTCTTGAAGTTAGAGAGTTACACGGCCTCTCATACGAGTGTGTCTTTTTCGGTGTAATTAAGAAATGCATTTTTCTTGAAGTCGAGAGAGTTACATGGCCTCCCACACGGTGTGTCTTTTCTCGTGTAATGAAGAAAGGTGTTTTTCTTCGAGTCGAGAGTTACATGGTCTCCCACGTGAGCGTGTCCTTACCCGTGTAATAAAAAATGTGTTTTTCTTCGAGACAAAGAGTTACACGGCCTTACACATGGGCGTGTCCTTGCTCGTGTAATAAAGAAATGTTTTTTTCTTCGAGACAGAGAGTTACACGGCTTTACATACGGGTGTGTCCTTTCCCATGTAATGAAGAAATATGTTTTCTTAAAGTTAGAGAGTTACACGAGCTCTCACACGGATGTGTCCCAACTCGTGTAAGTCACTCGGTCACTTAAAGGTCACCCTTTTGTTCCATACTTGTTCGGTTTTCATTCCTTTCACCAAGATAACGTAATAAATGATTAATTAGCTTCAATTAGATAGAAAATTAAGGCAGAAAAGTATACCTTAATATAGTTGAAATTTGATGTAAATACTAAGAATTATACAATTCAAGTGTACAAGGATTTAACAACTAAAATTACTAAAGGAAAGAAAAGTGAAGTATTTACACACGTAATTAGACCCATCACTCAACCAATACCATATGTTGGTATTTCGTTCTAATGAGAAGAACATGATGATAAGAGGTATGATTATACCGATCCTGTATGGGTTAGATATGTTTAATATGGTACACATAACATCACGTGCATCATGTGCATTGTGGGGCAAATGGAGAAAAGTCAATTGAATGATAATTGGTTTATATGATTAGGTTTGGTAACCTAATAGGAAAAATAGGTATTAGCAGTCCAATTCGTGTGCGTATTCTAAGTCGTGTGTCCGTACTTGTTTAGCGATGTATTCCTGCTAACAATGGCTACAATAAGGGATAATTCCATTGTAGCAGAAGGTGATTTGATAATCACTTGGATTAAAAAAAAAATAGAGTAGACTAGCTAATACCCGGGGTACTCGAAATTAAAATGGATAAGTATTGTGGGAAGTTAGAAAAGCATTGTGTATCACGTGCATCACCCCACTTACCGAGCTTCGGCTCACCTCGTCGTTATTTTTTTTTATGATGCGACAAGAAAAGGATAAAATTGTAAGGATGCGGCCGGCTCCCCTCGGAGGCTCATGTGTAACACGGGAAGTCTGAAACAAGTTTTGTTTGTAATTTGAGTGTATGGAATCCGTACGGAATCAACCGCTAATTGTAATATTTTGTTATTGTAATTAGTTATGCCATGTAAACTTTTCTATATACAATTTTGTTATGTAAGGTGCTATTAATTTCTTAAGTACATCGTACGAGATATGATTAGGGTATAGGTACTTTCAGCGTGACGCGCCTTGCCTAATCACTTCTATTTGGGCAATAGATAGTGGACCGAGGTCGGGTTGTCACACCTCAACCTCCTCCTCCTTTCACTCATTTTCTCCATTGTAGCAACTCCTCTACAACAGTAGGAGCTCCTCCATGGCAACGAACAACTCATCCACGGGGTAGCCCCTTGTCCTTTTAGCTTGGCAAGTAGCTCCTCTTCATTTGGTAACCAATGCATTATTTTTTAAAAAAAAAAATTTGAATAATTTAATTTTTTGCTGTTAATTATTAATTTTTATCGTTGTTGTTGATTATTTATTAGTTAATTGTTAGTAAGTTTAAATGCTTATTGTCTGTTTTTGTTATTAATTTAATTTATTAATTAAATAATTTTTAAAGTGTTAGTTTAACAAAATATGTGTTAAATAATTTTGATTTATATAGTTTTTAATGAAATTAAGTTTATTTGTTAGTATTTAAAAAATTTAGTTGTTTATTGTTGTTAAATAAGTGATTAGTCTGGTTAATGTTATTTAGTTTAAATTATTTTCTTATTATAAATATTATTTAATTTTATTTTGGGTTTAAATAATTAATTAAATTTTAGTTTAATAAATAATGTTTTAAATATATTTTATTTAGTTGTTAATTGTTTATTAGTTAATTGTTAGTTTGTTTATTTAATTTAGTTGTTATAAGTATTTTTTATTTGTTAATTAATTTAATATTTTGTTAAAATAATTTTTTAAATGTTAGTATAATTAATTATGTGTTAAATAAATTTTATTTATATATTTTTTAATGAAATAAATTTTATTGTTTTGTATTTAAAAAATTTAATTGTTAATTGTTGTTAAATAAATGATTTATTGGTTAATTGTTAGTTATTTTATTTTATTTTATTATTATAAGTATTTATTATTTGATAATTAATTTAATTTTTTGTTTAAAAAATTGTTTTAGTGTTAGTTTAACAAATTATGTGTTAAATAAATTTCATTATTTGTTAATTAAATTAAGTAAAATCGTTGGTATTTAAATTATCTAATTGTTTTTAAATAATTGAATAGTTGTTAGTTTTATTAATAAATTAATTACTTGTTAAATAAGTGATTTACGAGTTAATAACATTATTTAAAATTGTGGAAAAATAAAATATTTAATAGTTTTATGAAATTAATTATTTTTTAGTTTAATTGTATATTTAGGTGGTAATTAATTTTTTTGTTACATTAAGTTAAACAATTAATTGGTAATTAAAAATTTAAAATATTGTTTAAAATAATTAATTAGGTAGTTAAATAATAAAATTATTTTAGAATTATATTATTTAAATACTAATATATATATATATATATATATATATATGTTACTTTAATTTATTTGTTTATTATTTAGTTTTTATAGTTGTTAATTTAGTCAATTAATTTATAATTAAGTTATTTAATTTGTGTTTAAAAGAATCAATTAGGTAGTTAAATAAGAAAATTTAGAGTTTATAAATAAATTAATAAAATTTAATTTCAATTATAAAATTACGGGTTAGTTTCATTCATTTGCTTATTAATTCAATTTTGTAATTGTTAAATTAAATCCATTATTTGGTAATTTAATTATTGTGTTATTTTTTAAGAAATTAAATTATTAATTTTTTTAATATAAATTACATATTAGTTTAATTAATTTTGTTGTTAATTTCCTTTTTAAATTATTCAATCAAGTCAATTGTTTTGTA